TAATAGAACTTAACCACAAATCCTAATGTCGGAATCTCCTCAAACAATATTAGTATATATTTAATATTTTATGCCCTAATTTTTATGTGTTCTCCCTTATGTCCCGTATTTGGTTTCAACTATACCTATACAATTATTTTATTGACAATTATAATCAATCTTGATTATATTATCTTGCATTTGTAAACTGAGAATTACATATTTAACCTGCACAGGCTTAGCTCAATGGTTTAGTGGGTAGTATTTGGGAGAAGAGACCAACGTTTGAACCTCGGCGGCGGCAGTGCGAGAATTATGTCCAAAGTCGGCAGATTCCTTGTGCGTATCAGCATTTGGCCCTGTCTACTGAACCATTGAGTCACCGTGATTTACAACTTCCCACAATGCTCTGTCGGGTCAGAGTGTGGGGGGCCCTTGGGGTTGAGGACTCAACCTTTGGGAGAAGAATTACCTATTTAAATACGCAAATTCAACCTTCAATTATCTATGCATGAACAATTTCAATATAATCCTGCCTTAATATACTTTAAAGTACTTATTTAAAAAAAAAAAAAACATTGGGCATTATCCCAATCGCGCAATGCGCGTAAAAAACTAGTACTATATATAAAAACAAAATCCTGAACTTTAACTTCCCGACAAAATCCTAAAAAATCTCTCTTTCTAATAAAATATATTGATTTATACTTTCTCATTCGTACTATAATTCTGGGTTAAAGTTCTATTCTAATATTATAAAATAGTGTAATACAATTACTATTATAATAATCTATCTATACTATATATAAAAACAAAATCCTAAACTTTAACTTCCCGCCCAATTCTTAAAAAATCTCTCTTCCTAATAAAATATATTGATTTCTACTTTTCCGTTCGTGCAATAATTTTTTTTTTGGAAATCGCGTATTTTTTCGTGATCTATCCACCGCAAATTGCCGTAGGCGGTTTGGCCCACCAAGTTCTCAAAAAAAAAATGCTTCATTAAATAGTTTCTAAGAAAAAACTATGAGAACCTTATGTTTTATTAAATAATTTTAAAATTTTAATTAAAAAAATTGTCTCGTGCATTATTTAATAATCTCTCTTTCTAATTGGTCAAATTATTTAATTATGGTAAATTAGAGAATAATTAATGATGATAATAGAAATCCTAGAAGAATATAGAATAGAAGAATATTTAATTATTGTTATATTATTATTGTGACTCACAGAATACAATACAAGAATATTTAATTATGGTTATATTATTATTGTGCATCACGGCCATTATATACTAATAGAACTTGAAAGGAAACTAATAATAATAATAATATAAGTGGTAATAATAATATCTGAAAGTAATTAAGTGTTAATAATAATAGTAAGAATATTAACGACGTAAGAATTATAACATAGAATAAAACGCAATAATTAATAACCATAGTCCGAGACTAAATTTTGAATTGTCAGGAAAGATAAGCGACCTCTGGTGAAATTAACTCTTAAATAATTATGTATTGATTTAAATATTTTTAATATATTACAATAATTCCATTCCGTGCATCGCACGGGCGAAAATACTAGTTACCATTAATAAAAATTAGGAAATTATATTAAAAATTAATTATATATTAATATAATAATAATTTATTTTGTGCCAATAATATTATATATTATGTATAAAATATATATGTATATAGATTACCATACTAATTACACCAAAAAAGGTAACCATACATAATTATTAGGCAATAATATTAATAATTAATTATTAAGGCAAGTATAATTTATTTTGTATTAATAATATTATACATTAATGGCCCGTTTGGTTCACAGAATAGGCCGGGAATGGCATAGCATTCCCAGTAATAGGCCTATTCCTTTGTTTGGTAACCATTTCTATTACCAGGAATAATATTCCTGGTAATAGCCTATTACCTCAAATAAGGTAATAGCTATTATTAGGCCCCCCTAGTATTAGCCTATTACTGAACGCTCAGGAATAGATTTTAGAATCTATTTTCTTTTTTTACCCCTTTCTTTAACATAATTTTTTTATCCTATATATAAATTTATCCTATTTCACCACCGTCGTCGCCAACACCACCATCACCACCGCCGCCGCAACCACCACCATCATCGCCACAACCGCCGCCGCCGCCGCCACCACTGCCACCGCCACCAAAACCACCACCCAGCACCGCCACCACCGCCACCATCGCCACTATCGCCACTATCACATATTTTTATAAGGGTATTTATGTCTTTTAAAACATATTTCATTTCTATTCCTTAAATCACCAAACACTGTAATATAATTCCTTAAGTCTATTCCTTCCGCGAACCAAACAATAGAATACAATTCATATTCTATTCCTTGCCTATTCCATTCCTTATGGAATAACATTTCTATTACCTCAAAATTCATTCCGGGAACCAAACGTGCTGTAAGTGTATACACAGACACACACACACACACATATTACGTGTATATTATATTAATTAATTATAATATTTGTACATTTTGTACTAATAATATTATACATTATTTTGTACTAGTAATATTATACATTATTTGTTAGTTCAGATTCGTGACTTAGTCCTCGATCTCTATCATTAACTTATGTGTTTTGGTGTTGAAATCAAGATTCTGTTTCGTTTTTCGTATCATCTTGTAATTATCTCAGAGGAATAAAGAGAGAGAAAAAAAAGAATCACTTTCCGGTTCGGCAAAGCGCTTCGTTGCCTGTGAGGAGAATAATAATTTGATTTCTGATAAGAAAAACACCGGCCCTTCCTTGTTGCCGGAAAATTAAGAAATCAACTTTGTAGTCAATGTTACCCGGGTCTCCATCAACGCCCAATCCATTGGATCTAGCGGCACTAAAAACACTTCAAGCTACAATTACAAAATAATAATAATAATAATAATAATAATAATAATAAAATAATAATAATAATAATAATAATAATAATAATAATAATAATAATAATAATAATCTTGAAAACTGTAAAAAAAAAAAAAAGAATAGTTACATTTTCATGAGTGCAATACCAAGATATGATTCCACAGAGAAAACAGGAAGAAGAGAGAAACCGTGCAAAAGGAAAAATTATGATTTCTATACTCACCAATCCATTGTATTTATAGGTAGAAAATATGAGAATTATAAACTTGTATAATTTTTTAAAAAGGAAAGGTGTAATTATGTAATATTACCAATTAATAAATTTTAATTAATTTCCATTTTATATTTGATTACCAAATAAGTTTTACTACAAAAGTTTGAGCGGGAAAATGAAATATGAGGGTTTTAAATATATATATATATATTATAAAATAAAAAGTAAAAGTATGGACACAAGTGTCAAATAAGTCCATCTACTATCTCGAAGTGTTCAATTCACTCCACCATCTAAAACATATTGCAATTAGACACACTTACCTCTTAAAATTGTTCAATAAACTTTTTTTTGCAGGTTACCTCAGGTTTGCGATGACTTGGCTCGGTACGAAGTGTCATTGATTACATGACATTAAAATAATTGAAATTTGCTCCTAATCATTTTCTTCCCGTGAAGAAGTTGACTTGCAGAAACCCAGAAGCTCATCCCTCACTCTCTACTTTGACTACCTTTAGACTTCCCCTCACTCTCGACCCGCTCTCGCTTTCTCCACTCCCCTTTTCGCTCTCCCCTTCCCTGCCATAACCAAATACTCCGCGAAGCTGAACGTACTGCGGCAGCTCTCGGCGGTGATGTCCGCGAAGCACGTAGAAAGGCGGACGCCGGAGGAGCGTGCGAGGATTCAATTTGGTGTGCGGAAGATCGAATTGTGGAGGAATTTGTGATGGAGTAGCCAATCAGATTCAATTAAGTTTGCATTTGCGGTTGGGGAATATCATTTGCAATGGGATAATATTAATGCAATTCCATTTGATTGTGAGTGGGATAATGATGCGTTATGAACAAGGGCGTCATCAATTCATCGCAAAATAAGTAGCGGCGGCGGAGTTGGAGGAGAAACAGTACGTGGGAGAGCGGAAGTGGGCGTGGGGAAATACGTAGCGGAGATTCGACGAGAGTCCGGAAATCGCTGCAAGAAATCAAGTGCGTCTGTAAGTCTGGGTCGTCTCTGAGGCCCGTCAACCTACCTAAACTTTTAATTGTTCATATTGTGGGGGAGATTTGTGAGTAACCGAACAATTGGTTCTCCTGCTATTGCGACTTGCGAAGATCTGTTTGGTTTGATGAACTAGAATTTTCTCGTTGTCGACACAGATTTAGGAAGTAAATTCCATCTCACCACACCCTTTTATTATACTAAAATTACATGTCAGTAATGTGGATGAGCAACTTGGAGGTAACCTGCAAAAAAAGTTTATCCAACAATTTTAAGAGGTAAATGTGTCTGATCGCAATATCTTTTAGATGGTGGAGTAAATTGAACACTTCAAGATAGTAGATGGGCCTATTTGACACTTGTGCCAACAATATATTATCAAAAAAAAAGTAAAAATAGATATTAATAAAAATAATGTTGTTATCCTCTACTATAAAAAAAAGCCACAAGCTTCTGGTAATTAAAAAACAAAGTTCCCGCTCATGAAAAATGAGCGCGTTTAGTTTCTGAGTGTCAAAAATTTTTAATTGCTATTTTTCGCGTCTTGGTCGTAGAGTAGAATTTAATTTCACGTGAACACCGTCCAAAAGTTAATTAATATTAAAAGCGTAAGTTTTAGGGTTAACTAGTTTAAATGTAAATGTAAATAGTACTAAATTTGCATTATTTATGAAGGCATCGTATGGACATTCACATTAAAAATCGTGGGAACGGTATTGTTCATTTATGATGTCACCGTTTAGGCGTAAACTAATAACTATATAATACTGCTGTTCTATTCGAATTCAAACAATCAAAATACCACTTCCAGTATACACCTTCCAACTTTCATGACTCCTATATACATTCTTGGCCGTGATATATCTCCTTTGAATACAAGAAGCACATTAAAAGTTAGAGCAGTGCATACATATGAAATCCTGGAAAGAAAAGGCTCAAATACAATTAAGTGCAAAAAACTGTGTTTTCCATGATGAAAATGTATGTACATCTATCAAATTTTGATACCTAACAATTCATTGTTATTGCATCGTATATATGCATTTTTTCTTTCGTTACAGGGCACTTTTCTACATGCTCATTGATGGATATATTGGACCTGGAGCGAACCGACCCGGAGAGACGGACTCAAGTCGCCACAACCCGAGACGCCTCGGCCCAAGCCCTTGGGCCGTGGCCAAGTCGGCCCAAGCAGCTCGGTCGTGGGCCGAGTCCCACCGCGGACCCGAGCTCGCCACCATGGACCTCGGCTACTGCCGAGTCGGTCCATGGTGGACTCGGCTAGGCCGAGCTCGGTACATGCCCAGCTCGGCCATGCCGAGTGGCCTTACTTTGGACACGGTCCCGGAGGGGACGCGGTCAAAGCGGCTCGATCTAACCACCCTCAGTTTTGGGTGCAGTTGGAGATTTAGTTGATATAAAAACCCCCATCTTGTCCTAACAAGGACACTTCATTCCAAAACTACTACTTTATAGCTATTATTGTCTTTATCAAGCCTTGTAATAGCTTATTAGCGATATTTAATACAATTTACGGTCCCTGCGGCCTTATGATATCCCTGCGTTACATTTATTTATTCCTATATTATGGTTTTATCAGGGTTTAATAATTCGGGCCTCCCGGGGTTAATTAAATCCATCACTGGTGCTCTTATTGAGAGCTGCTGTACCAGCTCAAGCGTGTTCTATATTCAGTGGTCTATCGCAACCAGCTACCATGACAAGATCGAGATCCAACTCTCGCCACACCAACGGTTCTGTAACACCCCAGATTTTCAAGACTTTTAAAACTTATATAATAAGAATAGAATCTCATAAAATCCCAAAATACGATACAAGAGTACGGGGTGCTATGCCACACCTGAGCTAGAGAACTCAGATGCACAGGCTAACTAACTAAATTCCGTAATAATGTAAATGGCACGCAGGCCGAAAGGGAAACTATCTACACTACGCCTCGAATCTCTAGCGCGCTCCGGTGTCTACTCATCAGTGCCTGAAAGCCAAATATATCTGTTCAGCGAGAGATGCTGATAACCCACTCCAACGCGTTGAAATACCATACATATATATATATATATATATATATATATATATATATATATATATATATATATATATATATATATATATATATATATATATATATATATATATATATATATATATATATATATATATAGATATACGAAAACCATTTTGAACATGAAGATATATCCTACGAACTCTAGCTTTTAAAACAGGGATAGACTCAACAGATAGGGCTAAGCGCAGACAGCAGTTATACCAAGCATATACAGTTTACAACAGGCAAGACAGATAAGATAAGCACAATTAATAATCATAACCCAACATATACGATTCCCAATATGAATCCCATAGTCACATCCCCAAGGCACTCATAACAACAACTCCTCCATATCTCATCACATAGCACACTTTGTTGGCGCCACAGGACCAATCGCATGTCCATACATGAGGGTCAGCGCATATAGCTCTGACACGGCCCCGCAGCACCCTGCCCCGTATCGCAATACGGAGGTCGATCGCAACCGACCGATGAACCGCAGCTCATCATAGTTTGATCGCAACCAAACAGTGGACCGCATCCCAAGAGTATGTCATCTGACCGCAGCCAGAAAATATGAACCGCAGCTCATGTAGAAACGTTTGATCGCAACCAAACGGTGGACCGCAGTCCGGGAGTATAAATCTGACCGCAGCCAGCTTCTGAACCGCAGCTCAGGAATAACCAATCCGATCGCAACCGAATTGGGGTATCATGCACACATAACACATAGCAAGCACATGCAACCCACATTAGCACATTGGGAAGGGGGAGAAAGCGTGTAACAAAACCTATGCGTGATCCTTCACAAACTAAGAATAATCCTAAGGGGTTCATACTTCTTTCACCTAGGTCAACGGGATACCAATTCAACTAGCATGCAATATATAAGACTCATACAACCTACGAACGGTACCCGAAATATCAAACTAGACATAGGCACGATAGACGGAGTCCGTTGGGACACCACGGGGGTCGGGGGAATATCAAACGGGGAAGACAAAATCCCAAATCGGGTACAAACCAGCGGGTAGCCGGTGGGTGAGGGTTCACCCGCCGGCGGCAGCTATTCCGGGCAGCGGGTGCCCTACCCCCACCCCCACCTACCCCCCACCGACTCTTTTTCACCAAAAACGCCCCGGGAACCTTTGTGGAACCCGAAACCATGCTTAGACACTCTCAAACGCAATTGATAACACACGTAGACAATTAACGAATCAAAATCAGGAAACAAACGGCACATAACCTATCATGCTTTTCTAACCATAATAAACACCCAATCATGCGAATTCCCACCCAATATACCAAGAATAATTTCATACGATACAACCTAGGGTTCTAATCATTTTTAAATCAACAAGGACACAATTCATCTTCTAATATCAAGATTCGGTAAGAATATCATATAAACATCAAGAACATCCTACAATCATCAAGAACATCATATCAAGAACACCATAATTATCAAGAACCTTTCATCATCAAGATCACCCAGGGAATCATCCCATCAATCATCAATAATAATATCGCAAGTCATCAATACACAATAATATGGGGAAATCCTAAGTGGGGAATCATAGCTATGAAAATAGGTTTTGTTGAGACATGGGTTACCTTTTAGCCTTAATTAATTCCTTGGCTATGAAGGGTCTTTCTTGAAGCTTTCTTCTTTCTTGATTTCTCCTAGGGGAATTCTTGGAACTTCTTGTGTGGTGGGGGATTATTGTGGTGGTGGGGTTCTAGGTGCCTCTTAAGCCCCCTATTTATATATTTAGGTGTCCTAATTATGAACTAATATTATAGGCTTGCTAATTCTATTCCTTTTGGGACTAAGGATTGGGTTTAGGGATAAGGGCCCATGGACTATGGTGGGCCTTTCCTAATTAATTATTGTGATTTAATTCTTTCTTTTGGGTAATTTGTTAAATGATTAATTGGTTTTAGGGATCGTAAAACGGGGTGTTATAGGTTCCCACAGCACCCAGCTCGTCGCAACCGGGAACGGCCCCAACGGGGCCCCCAGCATCCAACCGGCCGCCTCCGCCAAGTCGGCCAGAGATCTGAGGGCCCAGCTCACCAACCACCGTAGCGGTGGTGCACCACCACCCCCGCTCCAGCTCGCGCTCTCCTCCAGGGGGGTGGCGGTCTTTGAACAAGCCTCCACAGCGCTGGCACGTATCTCGGCGGGCCTCCGGACAGAGGAACAAGCCGACCTGGGCGCCACCTGAGGAGCACCAGCGCCACCTCCACCTCCACCTCTCTCCAGGGGGTGCAGCGGGTCGAGCACCCGACCACCCATGGTACACGCCACGCAGGGGGAGGTCAACTCGCCTCGACCAACGGACAAGCGAGGAGGAGGGGTCTTCCGCCGAGACCGTCAGCATGACGACGATGGAAGGGAACCAACCCAAACCAGGCCCGCCTTGGAGAGGTTGGGCGATCGTGTGTCGGCTCAGGACAGGCTGGGTCCGAGGCCGGCCGCCAACGAGCCACCAGCGGTAGAATCGTGCTCCCGCAGGCTGCCATGATAAGCATCGGGCACCCGGAGGTCGCTAAGCCACGGACCCCGAGCCCGGTCGCAACAGGAGGCGGGCTCGCGTAGGTCACCAGGTCGTGGGACCCGAGCTCCACCACAGTAAGGGCAGACCTCTCGAGTAGAACGAACAGGGGAGACGAATGATAGAGTCCCGAGCTCCCATCGGGACGAGGTCGAGCAGCTACGGAGGAGGATGGACGAGCTCCAGAAGAAGATCGACGAGAGGGACGGGTCCTAGGAGCCCCAAGAGGTACTGTCCACCCCGTTCGTGGGTGCTATCATGGAGGAACCCTTGCCCAAGGATTTCCGTTTCCCCACCATCAAGGCGTACTCGGGGACCACGGATAGGACTGTTAACGAACCGAACATAAACGAACGGAGGTTGTTCGTGTTCGTTTGTTAAGAAATTTGGAGTGTTCGTGTTCGTGTTCGTTTGTTAAGGTTTTTGAAAATCATGTTCGTGTTCGTTTGTTAAGTGTTCGTTAGTGTTCGTTAACGTTCGCGAACACGTTCACGAACGTGTTCGTTAACGTTAACGAACATGTTCACGAATGTGTTTGTTAACGTTCGTGAACATGTTCGCAAACATGTTCGTTAACGTTAACAAACACGTTCACAAACGTGTTCATTAACAAGCACGTTCACGAACATATTCATTTACGTTTATGAACACTTAATAAACAAACACCTGCACATGTTCATGATCACAATTCGTTCGTGAACAATAAATAATCTACGTTCACGAACAATAGTCAAACAAACAACACAACTACAAAACTAATATAATATAATATATATGTTTGTGAACATGTTCACGAACATTATTAAACAAACACAAACGAGCTTGTTCACGAACATTATTAAACGAACATAAACGAGCTTGTTCACGATCTCTTAGCAAACGAGCTTACAACTGTTCAAGCTCTGTTCGTTTATTAATCGAGTTCTAAATTTTGTTTGTTAATGTTCGTTTACCTTAACAAACGAATGCTTACCGAACACGAACACGAGTAGTTTGCCGAAAGCTCTGTTCGCTAACACCCCTAACCACGGACCCACGATTGCACCTCACCAAGTATAGGACTGCCATGATGATCACCGGGGCTACCGACGCCATCCTATGCAGGGGGTTCTTTGCCACTCTGGACGGACATGCACATTACTAGTTCGGGTTCCTCCCCGGGGGGTCCATCTCTACCTTCACGGATCTCACTAAACAGTTCCTATCCCACTTCGCCACCAGCATCCAAAGGAAGAAGCAAATCACCGACTTGTGCGACCTGAAACAGAAGAGCTCGGAATCGCTGGCCGAGTACCTCAGTAAATGGAAGAAAGAGGCCATGGGGGTCGCCAATTTCGATGGTAAGTCGGCCATGCCAATTTTCAGGAACAATTTGAGGTCGGGTGCTTTTCACCAAGACCCATCCGGTACCCCCCAAAGAACTACACCGACCTGATGGACAGGGCGGCCAGGTACGCTGACGCTGAAGCCGCCAAGAAGAGGAAAAAGGAGCAGGAGGAAGGGAGATGTTGGAAAGATATACTCCCTAGGAGGAGCGCAGCAGGGCACCACGGCAACACCGCTGCGAATATGCTGAGGGGCCCAGACTGAACCCCACACGTTTCCTCACCCTGCTGACACACCCCGTGAGCATCATCGTAGCCCACGCGGAGGACCAGGGGATCGTCGAGTTCCCGAAGGAGGAATGCATAAAGATATCAATGAAGGGCGACCCCAAGAAGTACTGTCGGTTCCATCGCCAGAAGGGTCACGACACGAATGAGTGCATCCTCCTGAAGAAGCAGATTGAGGAGCTCATCCAGATGGGTTACCTGGGCCAATTAATCAAACGGCCTAGCCAACCCCAAGGCCAGAACCGGGACAACATGTGGAGGAAAAGGGTGGTGGTTCCGCATCGTCCAACTCGGCACCTCATAAAAGAGAGCTCGGCCAAAGCTCTAAAGAGGACGACAAGACGACGGAAGACTCCCAGCTCCCGAAGAAGCGGTCCATCTATGTCATTTTCGGAGGACCCGTGAGCGGCGACACCCAAGCCGAGCGGAAGAGGTGGGCAAGGAGCCTGTACGTCGGGGAGGTAACACAAGTTCCACGTGAGAAGAAACTGAGGAGGGAACCCATCACCTTCACCGATGACGACCTGCCAGACGGCCCCCTCCCCCACCGGGATGCCTCGGTGATCAAGCTGGACATCAACAACGTGGTGGTACACCGGGTGCTCGTAGACACGAGCAACTCGGTAAATGTCATGTACTACGACACGTTCACCCAGCTCGGCCTCCCAAGAGACCAGCTGGAGCGGGTTAGGACCCCCTTGTCCGGGTTCACGGGGGACTCGATCGAGACGGAGGGATCGATTAGCTTGGAAGTGGAGATAGGCACCTCGCCTCACCTCAAGAAGTGGAAAGTCGAGTTCGTGGTCGTAAAAATCAGTTGCGCCCACAACATGATACTCGGCCAACCTGCCCTGGAGGACCTCACGTGCGTGATTTCCATGGAGCACCTGTGTCTCAAGTTCCCAACACCAACCGGGGTCGGGACCGCCCGGGGGGACCAGAGAGTGAGTCGTAGCTACTACCTACGAGGATGCCGCCAGATGGGCAAGAAGGACCTCCGGGTCCACACCATAGCCGAGAAAGCATTACGAGGGGAGGCGGGTCGGCCCCAAGCCAAGCCCATAGTCGAGTCGGAGGAAGTCGTCTTGGATCTCAGCCGCCCCGATCGGGTCGTGATGGTAGGGGTCGGCCTCTCGGATGAGCTCCGAGCTCGCATCATCGACACGATCTGAAGTTACAAGGAGATCTTCGCATGGGGCCCCCAGGACATGTTGGGCCTCAACCGCGAGGTGATCACACACAAACTGGTCGTGGACCCCGCTGTCAAGCTAGTCCCGCAACGCAAGAGGTACCTCTCCGCCGACAGGAGAGAGTTCGTGAAGAAAGAGGTCGACACCCTCCTGGAGATAGGTCATATCAGGGAGGTCCTATACCCCACCTGGTTAGCAAACGTGGTCCTCGCCCCAAAGCTGCCCACCTGGAGGATGTGCGTGGACTACACCGACCTCAACAAGGCCTGTCCTATGGACCCCTTCCCACTCCCCAACATCGACCAGCTGGTGGATGAGACAGCAGGTTGTGCCCTCATGAGCTTCCTAGACGCGTTCAGAGGGTACCACCAGATCTTCATGGAGGAGGTCGACGAGGAGAAGACAGCTTTCACCACCCCGGAAGGGGTCTACTGTTACAAGGTCATGGCCTTCGGGCTGAAAAATTCAGGTTCCACCTACACCCGAATGGTAGCCAAGGTGTTCAAACAAGTCCTCGACCGTAACCTGCAGGCTTATGTCGATGACATGATTGTGAAGAGCACCGAAGCCAACCTGCATACAGACGACCTAGTTGAGGTATTTTCGATTATGCAGCGTTTCAATTTGCGACTGAACCCCAAGAAGTGCACTTTTGGGGTCCACGGGGGGAAGTTCTTGGGGTACATGGTTTCCAAGAAGGGCATAGAGCCCAACCCCGACAAAGTTAAAGCTATCCTGGACATGGAGCCCCGAAGGAGTCTCCGGGAAGTCCAATGCCTTAATGGGCGACTAGCAGCCCTTAGTCGTTTCCTCTCGAGGTCGGCTGAAAGAACTCTACCGTTTTTTGGAGTACTCAAGAAGACCAAGGGGTTCGAGTGGTCCCAGGAGTGCCAAAGGGCTTTCGAGGACCTCAAAACGTATCTGATGTCGCTCCCCCCTAGCCAAACCCGTTAAGGGGGAGGTCTTATATTTGTACCTCGGCATCTCCCAGGCCGCGGTCAGCTCCGTGCTGGTCCGGGACGATGACAGGGTTCAACGGCCTGTGTACTACACGAGCTGAGCTCTCCGGAGGGCGAAAATCAGGTACACGCCCGTCGAGAAGGCCCTCTTTGCGGTAAACATCACCATAAGGAAGCTCGGCCACTACTTCTAGGCCCACCCCGTTCACGTCCTCACCAACCAGCCCCTAGATGCGGTACTAAGAGCCTCGGGGTCGGTCAGCAGGTTGGTCAAGTGGGCCATGTGGCTAAGCCAGTACAACATCCAATTTCGAAGCCGTCCAGCCATCAAGGGGCAGGCACTAGCCGACTTCATAGTTGAGTGCACCACCCGGGAGGCCACCGAGCAGGCCCGAGATGAAGATAAGGAGTGGTGGACCCTTTCCACGGACGGAGCTTCGGGACCAAAAGGCTGCGGGGGAGGGGTCGTCCTAATCACACCCGAGGGGTTCAGAGCCTACTATGCCCTCTGTTTTTTCTTAAAGCTGTCCAACAACGAAGCCGAGTACGAGGCACTCCTTGGAGGGCTTCGGCTAGCACTAAACATGAGGGTCGAGAAACTCAAAATCCGGTGCGACTCTAGGCTAGTGGTGAGCCAGGTCACGGGAGAGTTCGAGGCAAGTAACAAGAGGATGAGGAGGTACATGGATATGGTACTCCAGCTCTTGGGCCAACTAATTAACTATGAAGTCCTACAGGTACCTCGGGATCAAAACATGGATGCCGACATGTTGTCCAAACTCAGCCAAGGAGCCCCAGAGCACATCTCCAAAATCGCCCGAGTTGAAGATTTTAAAAGGTCCAGTCTAGAAGCCAACCCAGTCCTACCTATACAAGGCCGACCCCCCTGTTGGTTGGACTACCTTAAGGAGTACAAGCAAAAAGGTACGCTACCTCCTGATGAGGTCGACGCCAAGCTAGTGAAGTGGCGTGCCCCCACATATGTTATCATGGGGGACACGCTCTATAAAATGTCGTACAACGGCGTCCTACTCCGTTGCTTGTACCCGGACGAAGCTAGGTCGGTCATGGAAGAAATCCACGAAGGGACCTGCTCCGCCCACCAGGGCGCCTTCACGACGGCCCGCCGAGCCATCTTGCAGGGGTACTTTTGGCCGAGAATGGCCAAAGAGTGTGCCGACTACGCCAGGAGCTGCGAGACATGCCAGCACTTTCAGGTCGGCCCCGGCCGACCCGCCACGAACTACACCCCAATCAGCTCGGTAATCCCCTTCTCCAGGTGGGGGTGGACATAGTAGGGGCTCTACCTATGGGGTCGGGCAAAAGAAAATACCTCATAGTGGTTGTCGATTACTTTACCAAATGGGTAGAGGCGAAGCCGCTGGCAAGCATCACAAGTGCCCGTTGCAAATAGTTTGTCTACCAGGACATTTTGTGCCGTTTTTGGGTCCCAATGCAACTCATCACTGACAATGGACGCCAATTCGAAGGGCAGGAGTTCGAAAGATTCTGCGCCGAATGGCGCATCAACCATAGCCGAGTGGCCGTATGCTATCCACAAGCCAATAGGCAGGTGGAGAACGCCAACCGCACCATAGTGAATGGCCTAAAGAAGAAACTTGAATCCGCAGGGGCAGCATGGGTGGAAGAGCTCGACGCCGTCCTATGGGCCTATCACACCACCCCCAGGAGGGCCACGGGGGAAACACCGTTTTCCTTAGCCTACGGTTTTGAAGCCTGAGCCCCTGCAGAGGCGGTCATACTTTCCCGCCGAGAAAAAGAATATGACCCCGACGCCAACGAGGAGCACGATAGGGCCGACCTCCACCTGGTGGACGACAGAAGAGAGGCAACCTCCATCCGAGCTGAAAATTACCAAAGGCAGACTAAGTCCTACCACGACAGACGAGTACAACCCCGTTACTTCCAGGTAGGAGATTATGTACTCAGGAGGAGAGAGGCGAGCCAACCCCAAGCCGGAGGAAAGTTCACCGCGAACTGGGAGGGCCCCTATATTGTGGCAGCGATGGTCCGTCCAGGCAGCTACAAACTCAAGAACCCCAAAGGAAAGGTGATATCCAGAGTATGGAACTCGGAGCATTTGCTGAGGTACTACCAGTGATGCACCATGGGCCGACCCGGCCGTTAAGACCATCTCATCTCCTTTTTTCAAATAATGTCACAGGAGGCGGCAGGCCCCCTCCGTTGCGATAAACAGAATAAAGTTTTGTATTACGAAACATTTTTTCTCATTCATTCCTCAAGAAGGGAGGCAGTTTTTACTCGACTTCCCCAGTCATACCCTAAGGGGGCACGAGACCCCACATCGCGTACCAACCTCGATGGAGGAGCCCCACAATCTAGTCTCACAAGACTATACCGTCGCGGTTAACATACCCTAAGGGGGCACGAGGCCCGACCTCGTGTACCAACCCCGATAGAGGAGCCCCGCGGTCTAGTCTCACGAGACTATACCGTTGCGATTAGAATACCCTAAGGGGGCACAAGGCCCGACCTCGCGTACCAACCCCAACAGAAGAGCCCCCTGGCCTAAGTTCCAAAGGACTCGGTCTGAACGGCTATTAAATATATATATATATATATATATATATATATATATATATATATATATATATATATATATATATATATATATATATATATATATATATATATATAAAACGCCTCGGCCACGGCCGAGGCCCACCAACTCGGCCACTGCCGAGGCAACACGTCTTGGCAGTAGCCAAGATCCCGCGTCTTGGCGGTAGCCGAGGCCCGCGCCGTGCCACGGCTCCAAGTTTGTGTTCTGGTCACCCAAGATGTTCTCTCATGAAAGCATAGAAGCAACAACGGTGAGATTTTAACAAATTTTAACAAAGGAAAGGAAAGAGTTCGTACAAGACAGATAAGTTCAATACAAAGTCAAAGAAGCATGGAGTTTGCATAGGCAAAGAGTTCAGACAAAACAGACAAGCTCCATACAAAACCCAAAATAAGCGCAGAATTTGCATCTAAGTGCGACAAAAAGAAAACAACCCCGGGCTAGCCATTCTAGTCGGGGGCATCATGGGCGACCTCATGGGCGGTCATCCCCTCGACATAAGTGTCCAAGCTAGCATGGACATTCTCCGTGGATGGAGAGATAGAACCCGTAAGAGGGGTCTGGCTCACGAGCAAGGCATCCAATCTCCCCAATGCATCCGCACAGCTGGAAGCCACATCCCCACCGACAGCACGAGTAGAAGCACCCGCTCCAGCAGAAAGACCAACCTCGGAGCCTTCGGGCAAGGGAAAATAACCTGGCAAGCCCCTCGCTATAGGATCAAAAGAGGGGTCCTGTTGCTTCAAGATAGCATAAATGTCCTACTGCATCGTGTACTCACCCACATCATAAGCAGTCATCCCCTCCTCCTCGATGCGACTCTTCCCCCCACCGAGGCAAGCCACTCGTCTATAAGCTCCTACCGCCGGCCCCGGGCGTACGACATAGCATCCAAAGTGAACTGGTGGGACCTCTGGTGAGCTGGTACCACGCGGCCCATCTCCTCTCTCAGTCTATCAGCCTCAAGATGACGAGCTTCCTTCTCCTGGTCCAACAACTGGGTGAGCTCAGTGACC